CACCTTAATGTACTCACCCAGTTAGACATTGATCAGATTACAGCAGTTCGTTTATCAGAATGAACTTTTAACTTGCTCGTGCATTTTGACCTTACGTATACAACAATGTGAATCCGTCAAGAGAAACTCCAGCACCAACAGAACTTAGCCGCGAAATTCCGTAGAAATCCCAAGCTGCTGTATAGACACGTCAACAAGCTCCGTAGAGTGCAGAGAGTGCATCTCTCAAAGCGGAAATAAGTTACGCTTTGATGGAATAGTATGCCAGCAACTGAGATGAACACACATGGGATAACCAATTTCCGGGCTCATTGCAGAAGGCGTAATGCAGAAATTGGAGCGCATTGCATTGCCATCTATCAGCCCAAAACTCTAGATACGATACGCGGACGACACGTTTGTCCCACTTTTCTATGTACTGGTCACTAGGAATACAGACAGATTTATGGAAACGTGTGTAAATCGGATGCAAACGCATGCAAACCTGATATTAAACCAACACAGCAACCACCCGATGAATCACAAGAAGAGCTACATTCAACTCCTATTCAAATGATGGGAAACGCAATGCAACAAGGCCGAATCGTGGAAACAGAAAGGAAATCACCTATATCGACTGTTTAGCAACAACGGTTATCCGAGAAGTTTCCTCAACAGAAGCTTAAGGAAACGAATACCTCTACAACAGCAGCAGCAGTCATCTGATCAAGCAAACAAACGGATAGTGCTCCCTTACATCAAGAACATCTCCGAACTAACGTGAAGATTGCTGCAATCACATGGAATCTCTGTGGCTCACAAGCCAAGTGCCACCCTTAGTAATTGATCTCAAGACCCAAAGGAAATATCAATCAAGCCGACCAATGCAATGTCATCTACCAGCTAAAATGCAGCGAATGTGATAAAATGTACGTCGTACAAACTGGAAGAGAAGTTTGTACACAAGTCAGCGAACACAAGGTGGCCGTCAGAATGCATGATCCACACTCATTGGTTTTTGTGCATGATGATCAAGATGGAGAATGCAAAGATCCTAGCACTTGAATGTGTAAAACACGCGAGGTAGTTTTTGGAAGCCCGGTACGCTACAACGCAATCAATCAATCGATACATCGAGCTGGACGCTGTATACGCCACATTACTGCTGAACGACCGCCAACTTGATCGACTGCATCCGGGGGAACGTGTGACTAGACAGCCAGAACGGACGGCAGGCTCACTCGCAAGAGCAAGCAGACAAAGGCTACGAAACCCAAGGAGGCGAGGTCAAAGCTCAACTGCTCATCAACCAAGCTGAACGCGGATCGAAGTCACGACCAATAGGATTACTCGGCTCCAAGGCTAACAACGGCGGTACAAAACGCACGCACACCACGTTCAGCACACTCTCACCGATGCTCCTCTAGGCTATTGCACGCCACTCAACTACGCATTAATGATGTCACCTCGATTGGTGACGAAATGGTTGCAACAAAACTGTCAAGCTTAGCGTACAGTTCAACAGCCACAAAAAGGTATGTTCTGTTATTTCATTATAATACAGCATGGTAACCAGTAACACACTGGATTTGTGTGTCTGTATATATGTGTCAGTGGGCATGGTGAATGAACTTGTGAACTGTGACTGCATTCGTGCGTTTGTTTGTCGTGTTTGCCATCGTATGAATGGATCAATTGAACTCTTCGAATTGGATAACGTTTGTGAATTGAGGATCCTCCGGATGGGGAGGAGGCAGTGACTTTATTTAGTGGCGTGTCACATCTGCCACGTCGCAGTGTTGTTAAAAGTAATTTTGTGGCTTTTTATTCGGATAACGTTTGCCAGAGGAAAACCCACCTCGTCCTGAAACACTGACGCCGAACTATTCTCTGGAACGGGATTAACCCGAACCAACAAGCTGGCACCACTTGAAGGTTGTTCGGCTAGTCAGCCATTTGGCAAGCCAGCCGCATGTTTCAGTAGGGGCATTGTGGAAGTCAGTATTAAACGTTCCTCTAACCCGTTCTACAATGGCACCGTGACTCAGTTCTGACATTGACTTTTGTATGGATCTGGGAATTCTACGAATCACGCGAATTCAAGACCGAAGTAGCGGTAATCCGCCACCTATGTGGCCACGTGCTTGAATGGGGGTGCACCAATTTCGTTTCACCGCTGTCCGTATGTGGTTTCTCACTGCTGCTTTGTCATCTCATAATCCGCAGTGTTTAGCTGAAATGCTGCAAATGCGCCCATATGAGTGGCTAAATCTTAGTTGGTCTTGGACCAATTTCCATGGCGCTGTGTGTAGCAGTGATGAAGTCATTGATTTATCTATAAACAACTTGGCGGCACTTCATGCGGTGTCGTGAATGCGTTTGATCTATGGCTGAGAATCAGATTTAACTACGAGGTCAGCATAAAGAAGTTGGCATTTCTTTACCCAACATTGCTAAACACATATGAATGGTTTATTCGTAATTTGCCCTCTGAAGTCAAGTTTTCCCCTTGTCTAGTGGAAAAAAACGTTTATGCTGCATCTTCTTGCGGCAGTTGGGCAGCGCTTGGCTGAACGTGTCCAAGGCAGTCAACCGCCTAGATCCTCGCACCATAACTTACGTGCTCCAAAGCTCTGGAAGAAGTCAAGCATTATGTGCATTACTGACTCATATATTGCGACTTCGTATCTTTTCATCACCATCTATTCACTAATTAGTACAGATCAATTCACCAATTTCAAATTCACTGTTCATCCGTGAACGGGTTACCCACATCTTTAAACCCGGTGAGAACCGACGTTTATCCCCACCACTGCGTTTATTTGATGTATTGCCATTACACAACACTGCTGTGTGGAAGGCGTGAGCGCCGAGTTAAAAGGCCACCGTCGTTTCCTCTTTATTTGACCTTTCCATTTCGTCTTTGTTGTCGTTAGAGCAATCATTTCCCGGGCGTGTTCATGCCATCCACTCAGTCATTACAAGCTCAGACATCCGTCAGCAGCTGTGACAACGCCGTTAAGTTCGGCAATATATGTAATTCAGGTGCACCCTCTACCAAGCTACAAATCACACTAGGTGCTTGTGATGAAACTGTACATCCGTCTACAAAGAATCTGTTTAGCCTTTCTGAACGATTTCCTCACGCTCGTATTTGGTAAGGTAAAGGTAACTCCGGTGAATTATTTGGGTGATTTTATGCCAAGACTAGTTGTTATCACGACACCGAGCTAGAAGCTAACGCACAAAGGAGTAAACTGGAGTTGGAGAAAGGAACAGCAAAATTCTATTTTGCAACAAATAAGCACCGCATCAGCAACGCACCTGTACTCGGATATTGCGAAGCAGAGCAGTCTTAGGGGACACAATGGGATATTAGCCAGGACGAACGAGGTTCTGCTATTTTACAGAATAAAGATTTATGCATTTTCCCAGTTAAACAATCACCGTGACGAAGCAGCGCTATGCGCAGATTATGAGAAGATGCTGAAGGTAATCCATGCCATTAGTAAAATACATGGCATAGAACGATAAATGTGTATATTTTGACAACCAACCACTAGTGTCGATAGCCAATAAACCGCTGCACATCGTTCCCCTTCGTCTTTGACGCACAATTATCTGGCTATAAAATCAGGACGTGCATATTGTGTATATATCTGGTGCACAGATTTTCATCGCGGATACGCTGTCAATTGCTCAGTTGACGGTAGCCGATAAGAATATATTAGGTGTCAAAACAGTAAAACTAGTACAGCAACTGACGAGACGGAATATCATCCAAAAGAACAAGGGTGTCATGTAGAATAATTTGAAACCGTTACCGCTTTATTAGACAATAGGCTAAGTTGTTAACGGGAGACAAAACAAATATCTACCTCAGAAACTAACATCCTACTTCAACTTCCAGGATGAACTCTCTATTTAAGATGATCTGCTCTTAAAAGGAACCTGTATTCTGATCCGGTCATCGCCGCAAAAATAAATGCTGAAATATGTTGATCGCGCTCACCTGGGTGTCACTTATACCATTAACCGAGCAAGAGAGTTGATATTTTTCCTGGGAATGACAGGTCAAATCGGGGATCATGTGTTGAATTAGGAGGCGCGCCATTCACACGAAATCCGGTAGACGAGAGAACTAATGCTGCTGCTGCATCCTATCCCTAATTAACCGTGGCAGCAGATGGAATGGATTGTTTGCGACAACTGAAATAATCACCTAATCAATGTGGGTTACTATAGTGATTAGTTGAGATAGATTGGCGGCAGTAACCAACAAGCTCAGATGTCCATTCGCGCGGGACGAAATCCTGGAAGAGGTGGTCTAAGACCCTGAAATACAGTTTACCAGTGCTGCTTTCCATGCCTTCTGTTTGAGCCGAGTGCCACGAATATAAAATAAATGGAAACGAGCGCTGATCCCAGTATTAGCCAAAATTTTGCACCACAACATGAAAGGAAAGAAAACAATCTGAGAAGACCAATGATCACGCAGAATCGGTACTCCGACCGAGTGACACGGGAACTACCTGAGCTAATAGTATCCAATGGTTAAGAGCATTGGAAGAAATGTGTGGTGACTTCTTAGATAGATACATGGTTCTAGGAAATAAAGTTTGGTGAGAAAATACTCAGAAGAAATAGGGTGCATTTGAGACGACACTAGAGACAAGCAGGATTGGAAATGGAGCGCCCAATGACGTGTGGCTTAGAGTTCACAACTGGAGATACAACGAAGACGACGCGGAATGGCTTTATGTGCATGGTGCATAGCAATGTGGAGGGTCAAGACAGGAGAGTAGCATACCGGTTGAGCGAATGGATCAACTAAGCGTGCTAGACGGACAATCGGATATAGGCATAACGGATTCGCTGACTGGGGCGCATTGGCCGAATTTCGGGTGACTTACTCACGGTTTGATTAACTGAGTCAAAAGAGAAACCTCATCGACACAGAAGTATCGTTAGTGTGATTTGGCTTGTCAAACACATTGTGATGTACATATATATAAGTTGCTATACGCTGTGAGCAAATGTGCTAGCACTTAGATAGTATTTTGGCTGGGTACAATAAGCCAACAACCGATAACATTAGGCAAATATACGCATTGTACAAGGAAAGGAATTTGGTTAGTTTCAATAAGTAAACAATTTATGTTCACCATACATAGGCACAAGAACTTGTTGTTTCCAATAACATTAAAATGTAAAATTGAGGACTGTGATTAACAAAGAAGTGATGTCGTAACCATTTCCCGTTATGATTCTCTTTTCCAACGCCTCCTTGGTTATTGTGATGGCATCTGTTTCATCCGACTCGAAATGCATGAAAAAGACTCCTTTCAAATATCCACGGTGTGGACCGGTTACAAGACAAGTAAAGTTCTTGTAGCCTGCTATTTTTTCAGTATTCTCCAATTTCTCGTACTTGTTGATTCAAAACAGTGGAGAAAGTACAATATTTTCATTAATATGATACATTCAGTATAGAAAAATGCATTATACTTGAGTGATTCTGGTTTGTGTGTGGGACATTTTAAATAAATAGCTAATTTTTTAACGTTTTATTTATATTTTGTCTATGAATCCAACTTGCACTCAGTCGAGTATACCCTGGGCTAGCAAAAGCGCGTGTTAAAATCAAGGACACATACATAGCTGTACATGCCGCGTTCCTTTCATGAATATCGCCGCAATGACAGTTCAATCAAACTAACTTATTCTTTCAGTGATTTAATAAGGAACGCCATAGCTTTTAAATTATTTGTGCAGATGTGTATACAGTCAACGGGGTCCATAACGTATTATAGAGGAATCTGCGCGTCCTCCGCGAATTTAAGTTTGCTGGTTGGGCAAATGTTTAAGTTCAGTTGCCGTTTGCCACGTATTTTAAGCCAAGCTGTGTTGGTTACGTCAAAGCAATTACCAATGGAAAATTAGTAACCCAATTGGAACTTCAACTACCTTGCGCATCAAGTAGGTATTAGCACAGGTCTATGCTGCTTTTTGAGTTAACGGTGCGTTAGCTTGTGAGCAGTTGCAGTACCACGAGTAATCGATTTGGGCACCGCCGTCATCTAATAATTCGGAGTGACCACGTTGAGTACCATAGCGAAATGTGTATATGAAAGCACTTCAAATTGTTGCTTACCCTTGAGCAGGTTGTCTCCGCAATATGCATCACCTCAGTTGCAGTGCCATATATACCAGACTTTTCGACAGTTAAATCATTTTCGAAGGATCCCATAGAAATTCGGATGGCTGAATTAGATTGAGAATATCAGGAATGCACAAAGTAGAAGCACACTAAATGACAAATAAAACGGTGGATGTTACTTTTATAGTGTGACTAATGCACATGTTTGGCCGTGCTCACGATGTATACTCTAGTATGTACCTATGGGTTTCATTCAGTCAGCTTCCATGATAGTACCACACAGACAACATAGGTGCAAACCGCTGATAGTTTGGGCCAGATGGTTTAGCGCCAATGGGAAATTCGCACTAGTGCTACAGGCAATTCCATGAGAAGAGCTGAGTTTGACTGCTCACTCCGGTGAACGATGCGAGATGTGCTTCTTAGTATTTCCGCTTCAGTTCCCACGGACTAACGCCTGTTTGATTGCAACTGTGGTGGTACCCACTAGTTCCACAGAAGTGTGATTACGTGGGGAGTAGTGGATTGTCGGCAAACCTGCAACGTCTAGTTGTCATTGATTGCTATGGACCCCGGTATGGAAGAACAACTTACTTGCGTACCCATCACCCATGGAAATCTCTGTAAAAGATAAAAGCTTTCAGCTTGCGCGCCAAAAGATCATGAATTCAAAATGTATATGGGAGTATGACTTCTTATTAAGCCCATTTACATTAGTATAATCAGTGGATTCAATCCACTCTAATTAGGTGACGGATAACTGCGGAATACCCGGCACATTGATGAATGCAACCATTACTTATTGCAATGCAATTGGTGTGCGAAGGTAGTTATAGTGTCAGAAAATGCAGGATTGTTGTGATATCATTTAAACGATTGGAACCAATTTACCAAAGTGTGACTGCAGTTTAAAGCCCGCGATTTTTGAATCCTTTCTCCGTTTTTCCCATTCCGAAAACAAATCCATTACAAAATTTAGCATTCCGGCAGATCCTTTATTCTCTATCTTGACAATGACATGAGTTCGATTAGGAGGGGCAAGTATTGAGGAAAAGCCACATCCGACTGTATCGTATGGCACTCCTATCTTGGATGAAATTGAGGCGCGGAGCTGAAATAATGTGGCAGGTAATGCTTATCAAAGGGTTTACAGTGATCAGCCAGAAGATATTTTACCAAGCATACCCCAAACGTCCAGACATGATGTCAGTATGTGGGGCAAAGTGAGAAAGTAGACTTAATGATTTTGACTAGGCATGCTATACGTATTCCATTTAGATTTTGATGTGATCAGTATACACATGTACACATAACTCAAAGCAATACTGTTTACCTTGATGCAAACGTCTTCAAACTGTCCAGCTACTGGGTGGTCTTCTAGTTCCTCGTCACTAATTAATGGTAACGGATTACCATCCTTCAGGAGTACTCCTGTTATCTCTATGACTGTAAGGACAAGAGATAATGAAGTTAACATTAAAAAGCAGACTATTTCGCACGGCTATCTGGCAGACAGGATTTAGTCATTTTAGCCAGGAGCGTGTGCACTGGCTGTTCTGCGCTTTCTTTAATATTCAGATTGCTTTTGCCATTAACTTATTAAGCAAACAATAATTTAGAGACAACTGACGTGGTGGAGCATTTAACATATTATCAACACCGGGTTTGTAGCGATCAGTTAAAGACGCACAATCCACTAATGTGAACTCACCATGTAGCCGCATTTGTTGGCATGGCGCAAACGCAATTGCTGTTGAACGAAATTGATAGCGTTCATGAGGAGTAAATTATGAAATCATTGGGCACACCAGCTTCTTCTGAGTTGCATTAAGTCAGAATGTCTAAGTAAGCTGCCTAGACCACTGTATCGGTTTTGCTAAATCGATGAATTTTGAATATTAGGATCTCCAATATAGGCGAATGTAGACTAGCGTAGCAATTGTTTCCGCGACAAGCATTTCAACAATTCGTTTCTTACGCAACTGTAGCTCATTTACTCGGGCTATCAGACACAACTCCTTACTACGTTGAGCAGCTTATTCCTACGGTACTTCCGAATGTCATAAAGAAAAACTATATAGTCAAATGACTGAGTTAATCCTGGGTGGGGCATCAATTTGTCCTCCGTATGGATTGCATGCGTGACATTTATTGTGATGTGTGCAAGATCTCATCGTTTTATATTTTGACTGCAAATGACATGGGTGTGATTCAACAACACGTATATACTTTTTTCATTAAAGACTACAGAAATTATGTTGTTTTCGTGGGTTTGCGCAGCGCAAAGAAAAAAGTCAGCATTTTTGATTTCTACTTATGGTCTCGTACTTTTCGAATGGGATTGTATGATATTTCTAACACAAGCGGTTCCGTAGTGAAATGTCATCACTTAATTTTTAGCATCGGAAGGCAAATTGCAAGCACAGAATTCATCACAAAGGTTACCAATTAGTAGTAAGCCTCTTGGCGGGAATATCATGGCGATTAGGCGGTATTTAATTGGGGTTGTGGCGCGCATCCAATTTATATACTCGCCACATGGCCTTTCTAAACCTTGAGCATTTCTGACTGGCGGATATGTGTATCACACGTACGAGAATTGATTTGCTAACTCTGTGCTCCATTTAGATGGCCGACAGTACTTATCTGACACACCCGCATGTAGGGCGTCAATCTGATTAACGGCGGAGTATCTGTGGTCTAGCGCTGTTTGACGGTACGTATGGCGGTCCATATCCAATAAGTTGGCCCCAGACGGATTAAAGATGTGGATCTTTCTATACGAGGGACACACACATCTGCCGTGGAATAGCAATGGCGAGAGTTTGTCTTAGACCTCTACTCTACAGAACACATTGCCTCATTTTAAGACACGAATGGTTACCGTTCACGAAATTTCTTGGCTAGCTGTTTACAGACTCACTTTGCTTCTGTCTCAGTTCAGTTTTCGTTTAAAAGGTGGGACCAAGTGAACTTGAAGTGGTATTATGCATATACTACTAACAATAAAAGATTTTGCTAGCCATAAATATTTAAACAAGAAACCAATGCAATGCCATGTGATACATAACCAGGCAAGAAACCATTTGAGTATTGCATTGCGCTGGGTCACCATGACTGACAACTGCACCATCTGCTGAAATACGACCAGCACCTGCTTATCAAACCCTGTTCTTGTTCAGATTCGCTACCCCGCACGGGTTTTCTCTAAATCAAGCTCTTACGCCTGTTTTGTACCTGCTGTTCGGATAGCATCCCGCCAAGTGTGGAAATATACCCGTTGAATTGTTTATCCATCTACCTACGTTGCTTGCTCTATGTTCCACACTTGTCTGTCCTCGGTTCATTCTCGTATTTGCACACACTTACCTAGTGACAATAGACCCCTTAAAGTCACCCGGGAACCTAAAGCATCGTACCCTCTATGCGCGGTACAGCCAACTTGTTAATGTGTATGGTTTTGTGACCTAATATAAGCGACTGTGTGATTCCTCGGGTGGGACATTGTTTTTGAGATTAGTCCGTAGGCTTCAAACACAGTGATTTGCACTGGTATCGCATACCTTGAAAATAATCTTTTTTCGAACTGAGCAGCAGTATTGCTTGGTTTCCTTTGTAGATTTTGGTATCCATCTGGAAATTACCGTAGTGTACTGTTGGCTTCGGTTTGGTTTGATCTGGGTGATTCACCAGTTAATCAGTCATTTTCCAGTAAAACCTCTCTGTAATACAACCGGTCAAAAATCAAAATTTACTTTACAGCTGTTCAATATAAGCAAGATGGAATTGGCGAGCTCAATACCGAAGCACAGTGTAAAAACCAGATTGATTGGATCTTTATAACGACATCTCCGGAAGTCTAATCTGTCGACGATCCAAGTGTTGCAATCAACATAAATCATCCTAAAAGCAAACGTGTTGTGTATCCAAGTTAGGTCACAGTGATTTATTCTGCATTCATGCTATTGTGCCGAATGGCAATCCAATCCAATGGGACGATTATTGTCCAAGTGAAGTGTGAATTGCATGAGCGTAGTGACTTGAGTGTATTGATCTGTAAAAATAATATATAGTTTACGGAGGAATTCACAATCGTACCTCCAGACGTAACTTGCAGTGATACGCAGGATGAAGTGAATAAATTGAGGTGTGTTTGGAAACGAGTATATCCGGTAAATTAACCGAAATGTGCATGCGGTTACCTGGTAGTTGATTCAGGTATGAATGGTGGTCTGCGTGGCCATGACATGCCGTCTGTTCTGGTCGTGGGATGGCAATAAACCATTGCTCAACGCGAATATTCTAGTTACGTATGTCAATTCAATGCACATAATTCACCTCATTCATTTGAATATTGCCGTGGGAACACGAAAGCCAGGAGGATACATGCAACTATTTCATGCTTCCTCATTAGTATAAACAATATCCGGTATGAATATTTGTAACAAAGACTGTGAGCGATCAGACAAGGTCGGGGAACCAATTGACGCTGTGTATATCGATACGTGTGTAGCAGGTGAGCCAGTTACATAGGCAGAAGTAACAGGCCACTGAATTCTGATTAAAGGAATATGTGTCGAGATGTGTACATCACAAAATTGCCCAGACACCCTACTCTAGTTAAATAGCGCGCTTGCCTAACCAGACGTATTCCTTGATACACAAAAGCTTTCCGGATTCTGATCAAAACTCAGTGTATAACATTATGCTTTTTCGCACCATTCCCTTATTCATCGGTTTGCTAAAGCTCATCCAGTTTATTTGCAAAACAATTATTCGTAAACCTTAGGCTGCTCCGGACATAGAAGTGGAAATTCCGTGATTCAATCTGTAATTCAGTATATTAACAATAGTAATGTACACATTGGTTTTTGCCAAAACTTCCATTTGACATGTTTTTTTCACGTGATATCTACGAGATAGCCTAAATTATTTGTCAATAATAGCTCTCCAGAAGAATGCAGGTTTCTGATGGAGAGCATTCTTTACCTACGGAAGAAGGTATGCTTTTCTCTGTGATGTGAGATGAGGTTCAAGTGTGTAGTGACATGATGAAGGTTAAAACTTAATTTCAACAACTTTCGAGATAGCACATAATTTAGACAAAACAATATCCTATACATTGTGACCTTTAAAATTGTGTATTACAACACGGTTATTTGTCTTCAGATTAGCAGCTTAAGATAAATGACGCGACAACCATTTGAAATTGGCATAACTGTGTGGAAGGAGGACGTGTTTCGCATTGTTCAACCGGTCCAGGCTTTTGATATTAAATTGTGTACTAGGCGTATGAGATCAGGGAACGATGGAAAAAGGACTAGGGATGAGGACTTTTGAAGCAAAATCAGTTAGCTTCTTCTCGCTGTCAGGTGTTTCGGCATGTTTTACAACGGAAGCTTGAATGTAAAATGTGAACGAATTAAACGTGCAAGTAAAGGTGGATAGCAAATGTTTGCTTCCCTTCCGGTTCACACATATTGGTACGTTGCAAGTACACATTGCTGAGTAAATAGTAGATGAAGAGAGGCGACAAAAATATCTGGACAAATTTCCTTTTTCAATTACTACATAACTCACACATACTAGTGATGGCTCTCAATGATGAAAGCGCTTTTCGTTACAATGGAACAATGGAACACTGGTACAATACGGATAAAAAAGCCAAGGCTTGACAAGACCCGTGGGATGGTTTGTGGGAATAAGGTTAGTTCATTTAAGTTACACAACCGTGCAACACACATCTGCGGACTCACCTTATTATCCACGTTAACCCATATGTATATCCGTCTAACCCGATTTCATGGGTTTGGTGAGCACCATGTTTGTCTGCGTCTTGTCGTCAGTCAATGAACAGAAATGAGATCAATTACTGTAAATTACGTAAAGCATCGTCGACTCGATTGTTAATCATGAGTAGCGTTGGCGCCGAAGTGACAAAAGTCGTAAGGGCGTTCTACGGTTGACAAACTGGAAGAGAAAAGTAATTCCGGCAGCACTCCAGTCGGCTGTATTGGGTGGCAAGTTTCAATTTATGACCCCTTAATCCTGTGTTGCAGTGTAGGTTCAGGAGTTGGCGGATCGCGTGATCGGGGTTTTCCAAATTCTGTAACACGAGGATGAGATCACGTCGTAGACGGCGATATCTTCCGATGTACATTCCCAGGGCTATCAGAAGCCTATTGTATTACAGATGGGACAAAACCTTTACATTTTTCGTTGACCGTCGCTGTGCGGTCTTCAGTGAAACCGGGTAGCGTTTTAACCAGGGTTCTCAAGCCTGGATCATGTGTTGGAGGTACCAAGGAAAGCCGCAGACTTTTGGATTACGTTGTTGGATTCTAGCTTTTCTTCCGGATTACTCGGTTATACGTGAATTTTCTGTGTGCATTATACACCAATGGTTTCCTTTTGGTATATGCTTTAATCTGTGCAAATTTCATGGAGGTCCTCGGCTTATCTCGGAGTTCTCAACCCAACTACCGTCTGCGTCCGGATTCGTTGCATGTCTGGACAACTTCGTTGATTTGGGGCTATTATCGACAAATGCAGCCGTGAAACCTAACCCACCTATCTAATTCCAACTGCGAGAAATCACATAAGAGTGATTTTTGTTGCATAAATGCATTACCTTGACGCTTGAGTCTGAATCTCGAAAAGCTTAGTCTCGCCGTATTCAGCTAGTTAAGCGTAGGGTACTCTCCACGCCAACAGCAAAGCGAATAAAACGCGAGGCCTCAAAAGAAAAGCGAAGCTGCTCCTCGGTTAAAAATATAC